GTTTACTAGCTAACTTCACCATGTGGTTGTTAAATATCTTTTTCTGTCCTCCAGCACTCAGTGGCCATCAACTCAGGCTTCAGGAACTCTGGCCTCACTGTCGGCAAGGCAGGAAAGATAATCACGGTATGTGTAGAGACATTAGTGACGTTTTCAGATTCATTTAAATAGTAATTTTAAGTCAAATTTTAAAAAACTAATGAACTGGACAATCAGGATAGTGTGTCGTGCCAATATTCGGTTGTTGTCTTTAGGCTGCTCCTGTTAGGGCTCATCACAGGATAGGAATACGTTGCATATATGGTGAAAAAGGCTTCAACATGCTGTATCCTGGTGCTGTATTTTGTCCCACCAGGCGGTCCGTAGCACCCATGGCCTGGAGGTACCTCTGACCCATGAAGGAAAACTCTTGGTTGGACATGAGTACCTCAATTTCCTTTCTCAGACAGCCAATCAGAAGATGGAGGAGAACCTTAGACGGATCAACAGGTCATTCTTCTTATTCGCTGTTAAACCATAGCTGTTAGCTACGACACACAAAACCTTCTGTTGGTTGTGTCCATCAGAATTCATTTCAAACCTCTGAATGTGAACTCATCTGCAAGGAGCTCTGATTTTTGTGTTTCTTGTTTTGTCATATCCAGGTTCTACCAGAACCTTCAGTCAGCTCTGATGACAGAGCAACTACAGAAACTACAACTCCCAGATCCTCCCAGCTCACAGGAACCACAACATCCCCCTAACAGGCTGGAGACAGAAAAAGACGAGAAGAACAAAACAAGTGTGTATAAACGGAGGCGGAAGAGACAACATCAGACTGATTGTTGCCATGGTGACGGATCCAGTAGTGTGGAAGAGCCAGATGTCTGTCTGGATCTATTAACATGAAGTGGTGGCTCTGCACACGTGCCAACTTGCTTAGCGTGTCGTCGTCTGGTTGAGAGTGTCTTTGTGAAGGCTTTACTGCTGATTTTGTTTTTAAGAGAGGAGGGGCTTTCGCTACACAGCTGAACTGCCCTGGAGCAGCTTTTTAGTCAGAGGATTTGTTTGAAATGTGTCCGCTCACTGGAACAGTAAAGCCTTCATTTCCTCACCACCCTAATATTGGCTAAGCTGCTACAATGATGTAATAAACACATATTTTTATACTTCACTTTGCTTTAAATGTTTTCATGTATAAAATTATCCTTATTCAGCATTTTAATCGCTATAATTCTAGGTGCAAGATACACACACACACACACACACACACTATTACCACTACTTGCTGAACCCTAACCAATAATACAAAAGTCAGCTCTTCCAAATTCACCACTTTATAGTCTGAATATTTGTCCTGAAATGTCATCAGACACCCCCGATAAACAGCATCCCCCAGTGCACAGATGTACAATCACCTACTGTAGTTCTCTGCATGGGAGTACCTTGTCTGAAGTAGTGTGCTTTTGTTGTTATGTGATAACACCACCACTGGAGGACAGCAGCACTTACAGGTTGCATGCAGGTTTTTGTGTACCCCACCTGATCACTTGCTGAAATATTCTCCCCCTGCTCGACTCGCTGCAGCACTTTGGTTTGTTTTGTATGAGATTGTGCTCAGTAAATAAATAACTTTTTTTTTTTTACTGTACTTCACAAACCCTGATTTAACTGGTCAGGCCAGAAACACTTTGCGTTTGTGTCCAGTAGATTGTGAGTGGCTCTTGAGAGTTTGTTCAGTGAGACAGAATGAATCTGCCGGTTCTCTGTAGTTGGATGATTCAGGAAATTCACAGGGGTGGAAGGACTAGGTCTCCCTCTCACAGCCATTAAAAGGCAAGGAAGAATGACCCTGTCCCTCTCAGGGATAATCACCATCATCATCGTCAGTAGTCATCATCATCTGTGGTTTAATTTCTCTGCTGAAGTATTCTACAAGACCTGTACAACTGGATTATACTTCTTAGTGGTTATAATAGTGGATTATAAAACATGGTGGGTGTGATTAACCCATAATTAGTAACACTGGATTATTTGCCATGGTTACACAAACAAGAACTGGACTGAATTGGATTTTAAAAGAACAACTGTGATTTTAAGTTGAATGTCAGACTCTTCATCGACAAAGACTCACGACTGGATTCCTCATCACCGCGGTAACCATTTACTGGACGTTCTGCGGCTGGCTCCACCATGCTGTACTTCCAGGTGGTGATTCTGGTGGCGACGGTGATGCTGGTTTACTACTGTGAGTTCACTGACACTTTCAGTCCAGCACAGCAGGGCTTCATCTGCAGAGACCCAGCTTTAACCAAACCAGATCCTGGACCTGAGCAGCTCAGCCTCATCCAGCCTGTGATACTGTACTCGGTGGTGGGTGGGCTGCCGGTTGTACTGGTAAGTGTGCGATTTCAGTAGTAACAGACGTCTCTAGATTAAATATAGTATATTTTACATTAAAATACACAGTATGAGTTAATCTTTGTTTTACAATAGCAACGTCACCACTCGGATCTGTGAAATAAGATAAATGAACTTCATAAAATGAATGTGTTTTGCAGTTACCAGCAAAAGAAAATGAACGTGAAAATCTATCCATGTTTAAATTAACAATAGATGAAGCGACAATGACACTGACAGAAACTGCCCTGACTCAGCAGTTGCCTATAGAAATGACAGTTCACATCATGAGATAAGACAATATAAAATACCATATGATACAATAAGAAAAATTAAGATCCCTTATTTAGTGATCTCACGGTGTTACAGTCAGGATGATGTAGACAGCAGAACACATAAAAGTGAAAA